TTTAACTATGATTATTTCTAGGTAATGATTGGGAAGAGGAATTAAACTGAATAAAACATTTTGAGCTTAGACCAAAAGAATTACTATGCTTTACATATAATTATTATGTTTTATACTAGAAATGTTAGCATGTAATAAACATAATGGCTTTACCTTTAGCTAGTAAAAATGTGATCCAAGAAACTTTTAGCACCAATACAGAGTTTATTTCAGTAGATGTCCTAGTAAACAAATAGAACAGGTAAACAACTTTACACTGATGATTTTCCAATACTACCCTTTCTTACCTAAAGTTTAAAATTACAAACCTGAGTATAATAAACAATTTACACATGAATTTGTCTCAAATCAGTGTTTTTGCTGAGATATTTACGTTTAGTCCATATAGTGTATATTTTGTAATGAAAATACTGAACATCTTAATCCTAATATAAAAATATGCAAAAGAAATGGTATACGATGACATACTTGGTTTCCAATTCTTTTCTGTTCTTTCTAGAGTAAGTCAACACTGTAAGCAGAAAAATATAGGAGTAGGCAACTCTAGTTTACCAATTTGACACTATGCATTAACTATTTGTATATCGATATAAACTTGCAGGAATTCATAATCCATGCCAATTAATTAATAAATACACTAATTTCCTTTTTATCAATAATCTTCAATACTACTACAGGATAGAAAGTCTCATATACTACTCATTGTGTTTTCAAAGAAAACTGGTAGAGTTCTTACATATGTATAATGTTCCAATAATTTGGCAATTTTGATGAAGATTTTCCTATTTATCCTTAAAGAAAAATTGAGCTGAACCTTAATTAACAAAAGTGCTTGTAATAAAGATTTAGTCAATTAATTTGCAATTTTTCTCAGAATTGATGGTAGGGTAGGATGAATCATTTTCTACATTATCAGTTCTCCCTTATATAAGGGGGTATTTCATACCACATTTTTTATGTGATAACTTAAACTAGCTACATAGGGTGACTTATAAGGCAGCATGCTATAATCAAACTTACACTGACATTATCAGTATGTTTGGGTTTATTCCTTAAGACTCAAAAAGAAGAGGACTTCCAAATGACTTAGGGGTTAAGTCTCAGTGCTATCAATGTTATGGCAGAGTTCAATCCTTGCCAGGGAATTAACCCACATACATATAGTGCAGCAGACCTCTCCTCTCTCCCCCGCTGCTCCCTTTAGCAGTATATTTCAGTGGATCTGCCTGTTATTCTCCCCACTCTCTCTCTGGTGAATCTTCTCCCGGGCACCTTTGGACTATGTTGCAATGTTTCTCTGCATGCATGCAGAGAATATTTATGCATGCATGCATGTGTAAATGAATGCATGAATGAATGAATAAATAAATCTTTTTTAAAAAGGAATCTTTAGAAAACAAAAATGTCAAAAATCACATGTTCTGAACTACTTACGAGCTATTTGGTTGTGTCAAGTATATAAGTTCACATGTCCTGAAAGGAAGAAATAAATTATATCAACATATGACATTTGAAAAGTAACTCTCATAAATTAGAAATCTTGCCATGCTTTAGTCATCTTATGTTAAGAACTACACATTTTTAAAACCATATATGTATGGCATAAAATAGTTAAAATAGATTTTTCCACTTTATGACATTTCACACACCACTGTAATATCTAATTTAAAAAGAACTGGATTTTCTATGTATTTGTAATTTAAAATACTTTCTGTATTGGAATCCTGTTAGGATTAGAGGTTAGAATCCCCTACCCCAAAAAATATGAAGAAGCTCACGGATATATGCACTGTAAGTACCAGAGAGAGGGGGACATAAAAAGAAAAATAGGTTAAAAAAAAAAAGGCTGAAAACTAATGAATGCTTTTCTAGTAATGAGTGGATCAAGAAAATGTGGTACATATACACAATGGAATACTACTCAGCAATCAAAAACAATAAACTCATTCCATCTGCAGCAACATGGATGGAAGTAGAAGGAAGGGACTATTCTAAGTAAAGCAGTCAGAGAAAGATAAATACTGCATGGTTTCATTTATATGTGAAATCTAGACAAACCAAGCCAAAGATCAGATAAAGACAAGTGGAGACTGATCCTTAAAAGCAGACTGTTGATTGTGAGATACTTGGTGGGCAGGGAGAGGGTTCAGGGGGAGGAGTATAGAGAAAGCAGGGAAGAGGAGGACATAGTGGATGGTGGTAGAGAGATAACAAGGGGCACTTTTGTGGTGGGCAAACCAGTAACCACATCCAAGGGGAAAATCCTATATCATCAAAAAATAAACAAAGATTAAGAAAAACAAGCTTCCAAATTTTATTTAACAAAAACACAACTAATCCTAATAGCCAAGAAATAGCAGACTCCAAGTAGGATGCATATATAACTACCATTCTCACCCTTAAACATAAATAACATTTTACCCATTATATAATTATTTCTTCTACCATATATTCCTCTACAAGAGCATCATGTGTGTTACTGCAATTATTTTTAATTTAAAAATTATATAATTTATTTACTTTTAAGTTTCTTGGTGATGATAGTATCATGTGACTTTGTATCACCAGTACCTAACATACAGCTGGCTACTAGCTGTTATTTAATACTTGCAGTTTCAAATTTTTCTTCAACAAGTTTATAGTCTAAAGTCACTTAAAGCATATGTCACAAAACACGCCTTCCAGAACATTAACTACATATAAACATTTATTAATAGTCTAATAAATTTAGTAAATGTTAAAAATAAATCAATTAAATAGATTTTATACAGGAATTCTAAAAACCTTGGGTTGCCAATTCACAATGCATTTCTTTAATGGGATCTGGGGAAGGTGATCAGCAGTTTTCCCCAAGTTGGCCAGAAACTAAGTTTTAAAAATTAACACTCATGGAAAGTTTGCTTTGTTTATCCTAAGCACTGGATTCAGAATTATACACCACCTCATTTAATATACTGAAAAGTTTAATAAGGGCCTCCCTGGGGGTGCAACAAGAAATTAAGTCTTAGCACAAGCCACTGGAACAAGAGTTTAATCCCCAACCACAGAGCTAACCCACATGGCACAGCAGACCTCTCCTGGCTCGCCTGCTGCTCCCCTTAGCAGTGTACTTCGTCAATCTGCCTATTCTGCTCCCCACTCTGTCTTTGGTGAATCCTCTCATCCCAACCCACTGTGCCCCTTCTCTGTAGCCTTTGCTCCTGCTCTTGTATGCATAAATTAAATCTTTTTTTAAAAAAAAAACCTGTTAGAGTATGCATTATTATAGCTCAATTTACATATTAGGAAACTAAGCAAAAAAGCTAGTAAGTTATCTAAAATCACCCGATGTACAATGGTGTCCAGATTAGAATCCACTTTATAAAAACCAAATGATTCCATGCTGTTCTTCATTAAGCTCTACTCAAGTCTCTCTCTTTTTGGTAGGGCACCATACCAGATTACCTATTTCTAGAAAATTGTGAACCCAGTCTTATGTCTATTTAATAGGAAACAAGAGATAAACCATAAAAATTGAATTATCCATATTTATTCTAGTTTCTAAATTTCTTTTCCAAGTCTTCTTAGTCACCCCCCCCCAGGAGAATCACAAATACTAGAAAACTAAATATGCATATCACTAGAAGGTATGATGGGTAAAGGAATCAAGTGAAACTGAAACAAATATTCAAGCAAATTCCTGATTTTGGGCAGGAGAGCAAACAACACAATTAAAATTATTAGAGTAGGATGCATTGCAAAGCATTCTACTAAAATTCTAAGAAATGATTACAGGTTATCAATAAGTTTGAGGCACTAATCTTTATGAAATGAAATTTTCTTAGATATTGGCTTAGAGAAGTTTAGAGGTGGTATATCCTCACCTCTATTAAGTTACTCCTACAAAAACCTTAGTTAACATTTTAGTACACTTTCCAATTATTTCATTCAATGTGTTCATGTCTAGAATTTTTTCTGCTGTAGTTATAATCAAAGAACATCTTGCCTTATTAAATATTAGAAGCTTTTTTTCTAACACTATTAGAATACTGCTATTATTCCTAATAAAACTCTGTTTTATTTTTTAAATGTTTAGATTATACTTACAAGAATTTTTTGTTTATTAGAGTCATGTATAAATACACTGCTTGCAATTTTTCAGTGTTCTACACAATATCATGATTAAAAAAATCATGAAGCTTTTCTGTATTTAAGACAATATTCTTAGGTGAAATTCTAAGACATGAATTAAAAGTTTTAAACAATTTTGACAAACAGAAAAGCATTTAGAAAGTGCTTGTTTTTAAAAAGGCAAGATGAGTAAAATAATACCCAAAGGAAACATTCTAAAATATAAAAATTAATTATATTCAGGGTAACATTTTTGACTGGTTTCATATTTTCTTATTTATGCTTTCTACAGTTTCTTAGTATTATATAATGTACATTCCTATGTCAATTAATAAAAACATTGTTTTCCAATGCTCTAGAACATTGTTTTCTTCTACTCTGTTCAAAAAAAAGCAAAAGAAAACTGTTATGGCCAATGTAATCACAATAAAATTTACAACCAGGAACAAGAAAATTCCTTCAAAATCCCTACACCAATCTTTGAGTTAATTTTTTTTTTACTTGAAAATAATTCACTTTATTTATTTCACTTTTTCTCTTTTTTTAGGTAACCCTGGTTTATAACATTGCATATGATTAAGGTATTGGTTCACACCACTTCAGATGTATATAGTCACATCACATGCACTGTTAAGATAGCCAGAATTCTCCATCAGTCCACTGGATCCCCTGACCACTTTGCTCTCCACCTTCCTCTTCCCCCTCTGGTATTCTCAATTCGATATCACATTTCTAGAGCTTGTTAGTGCCTCAAACATTTGTTTTCTATATTCTGCATAAGAGTAAAATCATCTAATACCTGTATTTTCCCTTCTGTTTTATTTCTGTTTGCATAATCCCTCCAGTTGCATCCATGTTGTCTGGAATGTCATGACTTCATCTTCTTCAGAGCTAAGTAGTATCATTATTATGCATATATATTACCCCTTCTTACTTTATGCATCAGTACGGTGTCATTGGGTACTAAAGTCTGTTGTCAAAACTTGGTTATTATAAATAGCACTGCAAGGAACACAGTAGTTCATATATCCCTTTGAGTTTATGATTTTTGCCTTCTGTGGGTAGATACCAAGGAGAACTTAATTGCTGGATCATACAGTAGATCTATTTTTAATGTTTTAGTGACATATCAATAAAAAAAAGAAAGGTAAAATAGAAGCATCCTTCCTAGAAGTTAATCTTTTTCTGCTCTAGCTCAATACTAATTCTCCTCAGATTACGTAAGACCATGCTACCCATCCTTTCCCCCATTACTATCCTATCATATGCTTATTTAGCTAAACTATTAACTTCCTTATTCTCTTATCCAAATGAAATGACACCCCCCCCCAAAAAAAGAAAACAAAAACAAAAACATACTAACTGCACAAGCCAGTAAACTGTGGGTGTGGATCTGAATGAAAAGAAAATTAACCCAAGTTTATCTGAATTTCATAATTCTCCCAGTTGAATAGTAATGAAAATAATTGTGAAGATATTTATTATAGGCTATAGTACAGGTCACAGACAACCTCTGTTGCCAGTATATTTCTTTCCCTAAACTAAATAAGGAAGGACTAGTAGGAAGAAATTTAAATTTAGGTTACTATTCCATTCAGAACCAGAAATCTGGTAGAGAAAGCCAACATTGGCAACTAAGCTTAAAATTTGCTAACACATAAGATACAAGGGGGAGGGGACTTTGGGGGGTAGAATAAATTTCAAAGGAAAGATACACAATATATATGACTGGATAAATAAGAACACTAAAATTCATAATCATGGAGTCTGACATTAATAACCAAGCTGTAAACCTAATTAAAATTTACCTTACCTTTCTAATTTGCTGTAGAGTGCACACAATACATTATACTTCTTCAGCAGTCTTGACATAGCATTATCAACTTTGGTACTGGTATCAATTTCTTTTAGTAAGTCAAAGAATTTATAGATACTATCAATGAGAAAAAAGGAAAAATACATTACATTTCATTTTCTAAATATAAATAAGCCTTTCTACTGAAAAGGTTAGTAGTTCTATACAGTATCACTTATTTCTTATTGAAGGAACTACTTTTTTCATTTTACTAGGATTTGAAGAGTTAAAATCACCTAGTCTTCAGTCAATACACCTGTATTTATATATTTACTTCGACATCTATTTATTGTTAGGAATATCTTAGCAATGAAGAATTATGACACACATATATGTATAGCTCTATATTTCAAAAACAATAAATTCATATCCATTTATTTAATTCCTACACAAAACCACATGGTTCATTATAGTGTTTCCATTTATATACTTATAATTTTTCTTTGGCAGTAAGAAACATAGGAGCTATTTATCCTTAATTTACTCACTTCATCAATCCCACTGTATGTAACCAAAGGATTGAAGTAACTTAAATTACAAAAAAAAAAAATGCCCAAAAGAGACACAAACCAAGAAAAGCTGTAATTAACATAGCAAGAATTCAAGAATTAAAGATAAATAGAGAACCCTAAAACAAGACCAAGAATATAAAGAGTCATGTGTGAGGGTATCCCCATAAGACAACCAGTAGATTTCTTAATAGAAATCTTACATGCCAAAATGGAATGACATGATATATTCAACATGTTAAAACAAAAAGATTTCCAACCTGGAATCCACTACCCAGGTGAGCTAACACTCAAGGAACAATAAAGAGCTTTATAGACAAATAACAGTTGAATTAATTTCCTCTGAATTGGCCTTACATAAAGCTTTATTTAGATTCAAGAAGAATTCACAACTAGAAAATATGGAAGTAAAAAGGAACAGAGAGTAAAAACAGTAACTGGTATAAGTAGATCAAGATGGACTTCCTTCAATTTAAGATTCTAAATATGGAACCCTATACATAAAGTATATTGTAAATACAAAACAAAAAAATACCACGAAGAAACAAAGTAAAAGATAAAAATTGAATCTAAACACTATACAAAAGGTAACTTTTAAAATAAAAAGAATAAAAAGGACAAAAGAAAAGAGACAAACCAACAAAATAACACTGAAAGCAAATAGTAAAATGGCAACACTTATAAATTAATTTTCCTAAATGTGAATAAAGTAAACTCACCAATTAAAAGCAAAATGACTGTGCCATGACAAAACCCCCAACTTTCTGCTGTCTCTAGGAAACCCACTGAGCTTCAAACATAAGCACAGACTCAATGTAAAAGGTTAGGAAACAATTCTATAAGCAAATGGTACGCTAAAAGGAGGTACAGACATAATTAAAACAGATAAAATAGACTTCCAATTAAGAAAGGTAACAAGAAGAGATGGTGAAGGATATTATGTAATGATTAAGGAAGCAGTATATCAAAAGACAAAATTTCATTAAAATATATGTACAAAAAAAGCATAAGACAACTAGAACTAAATCTAAAAACACAGCAACACAGCAGCAGAATCTTCAACACCCCATTTACATCAGTGAACAGAAAACCAAACAGAATCAGCAAAGAATCTTAAATGAAAAATTAGATCAGGTGAACTTAACAGCAAGAGGGCACTACACTCTCAAAAACTGGTTACACATTTTTCTCAAGGGTACAGGGAACATTCCCATGATTATACTGTACGCTGGGTAACAAAAAAAAAAAAAAGGTAGTAAATACATGAAGACTACCATGGTATTAAGTATCAGCTCATATCACAATTGTATCAAACTGGAAATTGACCATAAAAAGTAGAAAAATAGTTCAAATACATGAAGACTAAACAGGCTATTGAATAACAGTGGCTTAATAAGAAGTCAAAGTAAAAATTTTTAAAAATATGGAGATGTTTAATGAAGAACAAGTTATTAAAACCTGTGGAACACAGTATAGCATTACTAAAAGGTTAAGTTTATAGCAATACAGGCCTACATCAAAAACCAAAGATCTCAAATAAGCAATCTAAATTTAAGAAGCTAGAAAAAGGATAAATATTAAACCAAAAGCCACCAAAAGAAAGGAAAAATGCCAAATTAAAGCAAAATAAATAGAAATAGAAAAGACAGTACAAAAAAAAGCAATAAATAATATCAAAAATTAAAAAAAAAACTCATTGAGGCCCACTAAGAAAAAAATAAACAACTCTAATAAAGGAAATCAGAAATAAAAGAGGAGTTAAAACATATACCACAGAAAAAGAAAGGATCAGAACTCAGGGAACATGGTGAGAGGAAGATCCCTACTTAGATCTGGGAAAAAATAAACTAAGAAGTCAGTGCAGATTAACAGACACTGGATTCAACAGATCCCATGAAGTGGGACAAAACCAGATACCAACATTGACCAAGTACAGCAGAAAATTCAACTCTGACAAAACAAAATGGGGGAAAGGCCACTGCTGGGGCAAAAGTCATAGTCCATACCCACACCTAGGAGGACAAAACTGCTGTGCAACTACTAGTGAAAGAATAGGCAAGAGTGTGGGGTAAAGACAAGCAAGGACTTCTCTAGTGAGAAGACAAAGTGGACAGAGGGGTGAGGTGACTGGCCACCTCCTAGTTCTCCTGGGAGCTGGCAGATACAGCAACTAAACAGGTAGAATGAAGCTGTACTGGAACTTATCAGGGCTGTACCAAAAGCCCAGCCTGCAGACGGTAGAAACAGGGATCTGAAATTCAGAACTTTCACCAAGTACAAACTAAAGACTCAGTTACAGATTACATCTCCCTGACATACAGCACCATCCACTGGAAAAGTGTGAATTCTGCACCACTAATGGTAATTGGGGACATGAAAAAATAAAATAATCAGCAACCTGAGTCATCAGAAGAATACTACATCACAGAGAAAGAACAAATCACAAGAAATCCAGCAAACAGAAAAATCTCTTCTTCCTATCAAATACAAAAATCAAAATTGTTCTGATTTAAAAAAAAAAATCAAGCATGTGTAAGAAAAACATGAGTTTTCTGTCAAGAAAACTCAGAAATTACAGATGAATGCCCTCAGAAATAAAATTAATAAACAGAAGATCTAAATGGATACTCTAAATAAGAAAATAATGGAAATAACAGGATGTAGAAAGATCAATGCAGGAGATAAAATTTTTGAAAAAAGCTTTTAAGTAAAGTAGAACAAATGGAACATAAAATTAGTGACCTTCAAGATGATAATGCACAAAGAATCAAGTTGGAAGAAGAGAATCACAAAGAAAATAAATGCCAAAACACTTCAAGAATGATCATATTCCATAAGAAAAGGCATAAGACTAGTGAGCATTCCAGCAGGGGACAGAGAGAGACCAGAATAGAGAACATACTTAAACAAATAGTAGAGGAAAATTTCCCAAAGCTGGAGAAGAAACTACATATAGAAGGCCCTCATACTAAAGGAACACCAAAGTAACTAGACAGAATGAGACCTACACTGAAAACATAGTAGTGACACTTTTGAGAGTATAAAACAAAGAAAGCAAATGGAGGGACAGCAGATAAACTTCAAAGGAATCTAGTCAAGCATTCACCAGAAACTTCTGAAGAAACACTACAGACAGAATACAACAATGTGAACAGAACAATGTGATCAAAACAAAAATAAAACACTGCCATTCAAGATTATCCTATAATGTTGGCCTTCAAACATGAGGAAAAAATAAAGGCATTCTCAGACAAATAGAAGACAGAGTTTGCAAAACTAGACACACCCTCCACAAATGTTGAAAGACATTCTCATACTAAATTGAAGAGAACATCAATAAAGAACGGAGCAGGAAAACAAACAGAACAACAAAATTAAGACAAAACAATATTAGCAAACTTTCACATATAAATATAATCATTCAAATGTAAAAGACACAGAAAGTATGGCTGTATTAGAAAACAGAATCAAATATTCTGCTGTCTCCAGTAAATGGCCTTGAATGTCAAAGAGAAATCCAGGCTCAAAATAAAGGGCTGGAAAAACAATCCCACAAACAAATTGTACCCAAAGGAAGGCAAGAACAGCCATACTTATTTCAAATAAAATAGATTTCTAGTAAAAATGGTAACAGGAGACAGGGGTGAAACTATATAATGATTAAGAAAAACTATGTAATGTTTAAGACATACATTCATCAGCAGATACTAAACAAACAAAGGAACATCAAAATATATAATGCAATTACCACATCTGAACAAAGACTTTGGGAAAGAAAAATTAGTCTCAACATTCCACTTTCTCCAATGGGAAGATCAACCATATAGAAAGTAAGTAAGGGGACACTAGCCTTAAGCAAAGAATTAACAAGCAAAGAATTAACATGGGCTTAAGAGATATTTATAGGGCACTGCATCCTAAAAAAGCTAAATAAACTTGTCAAGTACACATAGTACATGCTCTAGGACTGACCACATATTGGGTTATAATACAAGTATTAACAAATTCGTAAAGACTGAAATTATACCAAGCATTTCCCATAACCACAAGAGTATTATACTAGGAACATATCCAAAAAGAAAGCAGATTAAACCTTTAGTATGTGAAAACTAAGTAATATAGTATGAGTGACTACTGAGGTAGTAAAGAAATTTAAAAATACTTCAACACAAATGATAATGAAGACACAACTTTCCAGAATATAGCAAAAGCAGTACTTGGAGGGAAGGCCCATATTAAGAGACAAGAAAAAACTTAAATATTCTTCTCTTTCACTTAAGGAATTAGAGAAAGAATAACAAATAAACACAAAAGCCAGTAAAAGAAAATAAATAATAAAAATTAGAGGGGAAAAAAATGAACTATAAGTTTAAAAAGTCCAAATGATTAATGAAACAAAAAGCTGGTTTTTTTGAAAAAATATGCAAAAACAACCTCTAAGCTCACAAAGACTCAAGAATTTCAAAAAGGCAGGATCAAACCAAAAGAGGAAAAGTTATAAGGCATTGAGAAATTTAGAGGATCATAAATTACTATAAACATTTGTATTCTAGTTAGTTGAAAAATCTAGAAAAAATGGAAAAATTCTTAGAACTATAAAACTATCCAAGACTGTATAGGTAAAAAATAAGAAAACCTAGCCAGAACAATTAAAAGCAAGAAAAATTAAACAGCAACCAAAAGTTTCTCAAAGAATAAAAGTCAGAATCAGATGAATTCCAAGTGACTTCTACCATATGTTTAAAGATGAGTACCTGTTGCCTCTTAAATTCTTCTTTGTTTCTCAAACTGATAAACATTTATCAGGCTCACATTACCCTAAGACCAAAACCATACAAACCAACACAACAAACAAAACTACAGGTGAATTTTCCTAATGAACAAAAACAAAAGTGGGATTTATTACAAAGATACAAAGATGTTTTAATATTTGAAAATCAGTCAACCTAATTCATCACATCAGTACAGGGAAAAATAAGAACCATATGATCACATCAACAGATTCACAAAAGTATGTGGTAAGATTCAACATCCACTTAGGATGAAAAGTCTTAAAAAAACAAACAAGCAAAAAAAAAAAAAACCTGGGGGTAGAAAGAACATATCTCAACAAAATGAGGGCCACATATGACATCCACGGCCAGCATCATTCCTAACAGTGAAAAAAGAAAGTTTTCTCATTAAGATCTACTACAAAGTAAGTATGTCTACTGTACCACTACTATTAAACATAATGACAGAAAACCTAGATAAAGCAATTAGGCAAGAAAGGGATATAAAAGAAATCAAAGTTGGAAAAGATGAAGTTATCATTATTTTCAGACTGCATGATGATATACACAGAAAAACCTAAGGACTCCATTAATAAACTAATTGAAATAATAAATCAAGTCAGCAATGTGGCAAATTATAAAATCATGCAAAAACCAGTTGGCTTCCTATGTACCATCAGTGAGCTAGAAGAAGGAGAAATAAACAAAACCCACTTAGAATTACATCAAAAAGAATTAAATGCTAGGGTAAATTTAAGAAAGAAGGTCAAGGACCTATACAATGGAAGCTCTTTATTGTTGAAAGAAATGGAAAGACATTTCCTGTGGATTGAGAAAATTAACATTGTCAAAATGACCCAAAGCAATATACATACTCAATACAATCACTATTAAAGATCCAAGGCATTCTTTTGATGAAACATAGAAAACATTTCTAAAACTCACATGGAACCGTAAAAGAGCCTGAAGAGCTAAAGCAATCCTGACAATAAAGAGGATGAATGGTAATATCACAATCCAATATACTAAAAGTTAGAACAGAACAGTATGATACAGGGAGGAAATAACCAGACACACAAACCAGTATAACAGAATTGAGAGCCCAGAAATAAACCGTATCATCATAGTTAACCCATGATAAAGGAGTCAAAAAAATATACTGGAGAAGGAGAGCTACTTCAGAAAATGGTGCTGGGAAAACTACTTAAACACATGCAAAAGAATGAAATTAGACCACTGTTACACACCATACACATGGAAAAAAGCATAAGGAAACACGTTATAACACTGGCCTCAGTAATGTATTTGAGGACTTAACTCCCAAACAAAAGTGAATATAAACATTGGGACTACATCAAAATAAAAAGGTTCTGCATAGCAAAACAAATTGTCTCTAAAATGAAGACACCCTATTAAATGGGTATAAATATTTACACATCATATATCCAACAAGGGGCTATTATTCCACATTGACAATGAAGTCATACAACTCAACAACAAAAACCCAGTCAAAAAATGGACAGAAAAGCTAACCAGGCACTTCTCTGAGGAAGATATACAGATTGGTCAAAGAGCAAATGAAAAAAGGCTCGCTATCATCTATCATCAGAAAATGCAAGCCAAAACTACAATGAGATACCAACTTATACCTGGTATATATACAAAATGGAATATTATTATGCTATTTAAGAAAAAAAAATGATCTTGCCATGTATGACAACATAGGAACTGCAGAGAATTATTGTAAGTAAAGTAAGTCAGAGGGAGACAGGTAGTGGATAATTTCACTCATATGAGGAATAGATAGAAACAAAGCAAAGAAACAGAAAACCCAATCTTTGGAACCTGGCTGTAGTACTTAGATTAGCAGACAGGGAAGGATGAGTTTGAAGTGGGTAAAGAATCTACTGGACTATGATCATCTAATTGCAGCATATTTATAAAAAGTAATGAAATAATTTTACAAAAAAAGCAGTAGTATATGTCTTTTCTTAGATAAAGCCATCTAGAATTAAATATAATTGATATTTTATTTAAATGAGGTAGGTACATTTTTAAAATCATGTTTATTAAAAGTCATTTATGTTTTATATTATTTTAGCATTTTTCAGTAGCTCCCTAAAGTGTGTTTAAAGGAAAGTTCAAAAATAGTTTTCTTTGATGTCAGAAGCATAGTGTTGTGTAATAAATTTTACCTGGTTTCTATGCTTTTCTGTAGCTCAGTGAAAGTGAATGGCATCTCATCTAGGTCCACTGCAGCAATAAAGACACAGATTCCCCACAGTTCCTTTTTCCTTTGATTATAACCTTCCTGAGAAAAAAATAAAGTTCAGATATTTCATTAAATCACTCATACTATTATATACAAGATTGAAAATTTATTCTATGTGACTTTTTTCTAGTTAGCATAAAATAATTTTTAATCCTAAAATGGCACTGAAAACATTTAATTCTACATAATAAAAATACTCAAATTTATATCATAAGACCAAAAAATGCTAGAAAAATCAAAAAGTTAAATAACAACTAGCTCATACATTTAGGTGTCAGTGAGTTATTTGTTTCATTTTTCAATAACCCAGAGTTATCAAAGTCAAGTTAAAAAACTCTAGACTTTATAACAAAGATTGTTGTCTTTTAAAAATGCCAATGTTCTCACTTGACTATAGCTTCTTTGTTCTTATTCACTCACTTCCTGTATCAATTAATAATTCAGGTGTTTTATAGCTTTATGAAATTCATAGCTCTTAGTGTCATATTTGCCTTCCTTGTAGAATGAAAATTATGCCTTACTTTGTAAAAGTTAAATTAGATGATACATATATAAGCCTTAAAATTTAAACTCAAATATACAGTTCTAGTCCCTGGCATCAAACTAGTACTTAAATGAGTAATAGTTATTAGAATATATTTCCATAACTATTAGTTTCATATCCATTAAAAAAAACAGAATATCTCCTACATACATGTTTTGTAGGTAAAATGTGTATTATATTAAATTGAAAACAAAGGAAATGTCAAATATTTGATGTTCTATTAACAATGAAACTACTTGCTACTATTAACCAGAGATTACAATAGAGTGAAAAAGTATGTGATACAACTTTACATTGTTTTGGAATCTCAATTACATAAAAGTTTTATATGAAAGTATTATTAAACTTTATAGATAATAAAAAGTCTATCACTATCCAACTCTAAATTTTTCCTTAATCTGTAGCACTTGAGAAAGAAACACTGAAAATATATTAAAACTATACAACTACTAAAATGCTTAAAATTCAAAAGCCTGAAATATATTTCTGAAACATCAAGGGTTGATGAGGATGTAGAGAAATGGAACATTCAAAATTTGCTGGTGAAAACATAAAATGGTACCACTTTTTGGGGAAAAAAAACTGTGTCAAATTCATATAAAGTTAAATATATATTTTTTCATAACACTTAGCAATTCCACTCAGATATTAACACCCAAAAAGACATTGTACAAGAATTTTCATATCAGCTTCCTTCATAACAGCCAAGTACTGAAAACCACCCAATAACTAAAAACAGGTGAACAAAATTGTGCTATATTGATACAATGGAATGTTATTCAAGAATGAAAAGTAAAAGTATTATAAAAACATTAATCTCAATATCGTAGATTCAGAAAAAGAAAACAGAAACAAAAGGCTACACATATGACTGATTCCTTTTGTATAAAATTCTAGAAAGACAAAACTAATATTTAATGTTAGAAAGTACATCAGTACCTTCCTGGAGACAGGAGAGATGATGTTGGGGGATAACTTCATAGGGCAGTAAAAGAATTTTCTGTAATGATCAATCAAATTTTTCTATGTATAGGTCTTCTAGTTCTTTGAATTTATTACACAGTATTTAGTTGTTTTGTTTTTTTGATGTGGTTGTAAATGAGATTGTTTTCCTTATTTCTCTTTCTATGAATTATTTGTATACTAATTTTTACACTAATTTTTTTAGTCTACTTTTTCCATTTATTTCTAATAGCACTTTACTGGGGTATTCTGTATTTTCTATGTGTATTACCATATCATCTGCAAATCTTATTAGGTTTACTTTTCTTTCCAATTTGGAAACATGCATACACATGAATGATGATTATTGATTGGGTAGATAGACCAATGATAGATAAACTGATGCACACATACACACACACACACATAATTTAGTTGTTCTTGCTAAGACTTCCAATATTATGTTGAATAAGATGATGAAAGTGCCCATCATTGTGTTATTTCTGACCTTTGAGTAAAAGCTTTCAATTTTCTACCACTGAGTATGATGTTAGCTATGAGTCTGACATATATGAGCCTTATATTAAGGTACATTACTTCTATATCCATTTTTGCTGAGGTTTTTTTAATCATAAAATAACATTGACTCTTACCAGTCCTTTTACTGTTTCTATTGAAATGATCGTGATTTTTGTCCTTTTTGTTGGTTGGTATTTCAAGATTATTAATTTGTGGATGTCAAACCATAATTACAACCTAAAGTAAATCCCACTTGATCGTGGTGTATATGAGAATGGCTATTTAAAAAAGAATAGAAACAATTGCTCAGGTGGATGTGGAGAAAAGGGTACTTGTACTCTATTGGTGGGAATGTATATTGGTATAGCTGCTATGGAAAGCAGTATGGAGATGCATCAAAAAATTAAAATTATAAATATAATTTCAGTTACTCACTTCTGACTATTTACTGAAAAATACAAAAAAAATAATTAGAATAGATACATGCACCACCATGTTTATTGCAGCACTATTTACTATACCAAGGAGCTGGAAACAAACTAAGTGTTACAACAGATGAAAAGATATGGAGTATGTGTGTGTGTGTGTATGTGTATATATGTATATATATGTGTGTGTATATACATATTTGTATATTAAAAGATGAGTATATACATATATTAAAAGATATGGAGATATATGTATATGTATATATATGTGGAGTATATATGTGTGTGTATACGTATATGTGTATTACTGCATATATATGCATGTGTGTATATATATATATACATACATACACACACATATATATGGAGTAATATTCACCTGTAAAATATGATGAATCTTGTCATTTGCTACAACATGTGTGGACCTAGAAAGTATCATGGGTATTATGTTTAGTGAAATAAGGAACACAGAAAATGACAATGTATGATTTTACTTAATGTGAAAACTAACAAACAAATGGACTGAATAAAATTATAACTTTATAAGAACAATTAACGGTACCCAAGAGAAGTGGGAAAATCATATAAAGAGGTCAAGTGAAGAGTGAAAAATAGAACTGGACTTTCAGTGATGAAATTAAGGTGATGTATACACATATTGATTCAGTGATGTGCACCTACATAATGTTACAATACAATGTTATCTGAATAAAAATTCTATTTAAAAATTTTATATCTTAATGGTTAAACATTGTCAAAATATATTGAACGGTTCACTTAAAATTGGTTGATTTTAGTGTATGTAAATAAGGCCTCAATATATTCAATTTGGAATCCATGACACATACTACTATACTACTGAAACTGATGAAGTATATGTTGCTTGACTGTTCCGATTTCTGTATTTTAATGAAAGGAAATAATACTAACTTTTATATATGTGTTTATATTAATATGGCTTATATTAAATGACATATATGAACTTAAATTGAGGTACGTACCTTCTATACCCATTTTACTAAGGATTTTTAATCATAAAATGATGTTGAATCTTTCCAAATCCTTTTACTCTACTGAAATGACTGTAACTTTCTCAAAAAACTAATAAGATGGGAAAGATCTTTTTTCTATATAATAGGACCCAAATTACAAGTTTTTTAAGTTTTATGGCTACTTCTTAGCAAGCTTTTGGTTTGTTTCTTTGCTCTCAAGGTATTCTGGTGAGCTGAACTCTTTTCAATGTGTCTGGTCTCATCACTTCCAGTTGCCTTTTTTTTTTTTATTCTTTTAAAGGGAAGGTAATGAAATAACTAAATTTTTCCACTCAAGTATGTTACTTATTCTTTTTTATTTAAACAGAAAATTTATTAGGCTATAGCCAAAACAATACCACACAAGGTCAATTGAAATGATAAAGTGCCTAAATGATATGTTTATATATATTTCATTATAAACAGTTTCTGATTTTTAAGAACCTAAGGAATTTTTCTATGGGCAAAATATGTTATCTTCATTTCAGACGATTTATAAAGCTTGTTGTTGCTGTTACTCTAGCTGTATTCCACTTACCTCTATATCTAGATTGGTTTTTTTTTTTTCTCCTTCACACATTTATCTTTGGAGAAAAAAAAGTTTTTTCTAAACTTGACAGTGAAAAGTATTTTAAGTACTTATATTTGATTTAGTTCCTTAGCAAGATCCAGATTACAAGTGAGATAGATGCTATAGCAAATATTTTTGTGTGTCTATACAAAGGAAATAACCAATGTTCAACTACCGGAGTCCTAGAAGTAGAAATTCCAGATAAAAGTTTTAAAAGCAGGCCCTCCCTGGTGGCGCAGTGGGTTAAAGTACTGTACTAAGAATCAAAAAAAAAAAAAAAAAGCTACTTCCACATGAGTTCGATCCCCACCTGCCCTGGAGGAGATCCACATGGCCTGGCAGACCTCTCCTGACCCGCCCGCTGCTCCCCTCAGCAGTGTACTTCGTCTATCTGCCTGTTCTGCTCTCCACTCTGTCTCTGGTGAAGCCTCTCACCCTCCGCGTCTCTGGCCTGTACCCCAGTTCTGTATGAATAAATAAATAAATCTTTAAAAAAAATTAAAAAAAAAAAGTTTTAAAAGCAGGCAGAAAGAGAGAGACAGAAAAAGAACCTGCATTTTCTAACCAAAATCATCCACTTGATTTGGTCTTATACCTGTATACCACCAGGATTTACTAGAGCAAAAAGCAAAATTTACAAAACTATGAAGATTAGAATCAAATGCAGAATGTATTAACATATTAATACAAAGTCAATTGAGGGCCCTCCCTGGTGGCCCAGCGGGTTAAATCACTGCGCTGAGGCTAAAGCCGCTTCTGCATGAGTTCAATTCCTCCCTGCCCGGGAGGTGAGGTGACCACAGGGCGTGGCAGACCTCTCCTGACCGGCCTGCTGCTCCCCTCAGCAGTGTACTTCGTTGATCTGCCTGTTCTGCTCCCCACACTGTCTCTGGTGAAGCCTCTCGCCACCCCTGAGCCTCTGGCCTGTACCCCAGTTCTGTATGCACAAATAAATAAATCCTTAAAAAAAAATTTTGAAAGAATTCCTTTTAAAAAAAAAAACA